CAGGACATGGCCTGCCTGCTCAAGGAGTACCAGGAGGTGATGAACTCCAAGCTGGGCCTGGACATCGAGATCGCCACCTACAGGCGCCTGCTGGAGGGCGAGGAGAGCAGGTGGGTGCCCCCAGCCTGGCCACGTGCTGCCCTCTGACCTCCTGCTTGTCATGCCTGGGCAGAACCTGGAGTCGGGACCAGACCTAGGGATTTGCCTTGTTGAAGGCTCGGGCTTGAGAGAGCTGACCTCTGACTTTCTGCTCCTACTTGTTGACCTCTAGGGGCCCACTGCCAGTCCTGTGGACCCCGTCCTCAGTGGCTCACTAAGCCTTTTCTTCTTCCCCGCAGGTTGTGTGAAGGTGTTGGCTCCGTGAATGTCTGTGAGTAACAGGACCTTGTGGCCTCCTATCCCTCCCCCAGGTGGACGGCTGGGACTGCCAGGGGGGTTTCCACTGAAACCTGAATATAAGATTGGGGACTGACCTCACTGCAAGAGGGGCTGGGGTGCAGCAAGAAGACACCCTTGGGGATAGAACCCCCAGGATTACCAAGAACAGCCTCCTGACTTTTTTTTTAAAGATTTATTTATTTTTGCATGCAGAGCTGGGGTACAGGCCAGTGGTGTGGGGGGGTGAGCGGATTCACCAGTGACAGAGTGGGGAGCAGTGAGGGGAGCAGCCGGCGGTCAGGAGCGGTCTGCGGCGCCCTGGGGGGTCCCTCCCTGGCCTGGGGTCGAACTGGCGCTGCAGCGGCTGCGATAGCTTCACAGCTCTGCGCTTAACCCGTTGCGCCGTCGGGGAGGGTCGCGCCGCCGGGGAGGGTCCCGCCTCCTGACTTTTAAGACCAGTGGTGGGTGGGTGGGGGTACAGGGGGTGGGAGACGTTCGTCCCCTTCGCACAGTGACTCCCTGCCCCAGAATTCTGACTCAATCTTTGGGCTTTGCAGGTGTCAGCAGCTCCCGCGGCGGGGTCGTCTGTGGCGACCTGGCCGTGTCCGGCTCCCGGCCTGTGACCGGCCCCGCGTGCAGCGCCCCCTGCAGCGGGAACCTGGCGGTCAGCACCGGCCTGTGAGCGCCCTGCGCACCCGTCCGCACCTCCTGCCGCAAATGTTAGAGGCGCAGACTCAGCCCGGGCCGCCGCGGCTCTCCAGTCCCGGGGCGTGGCCGGCCCAGCCCGGCCAGCCCCCCAGCCCTGAAGAGCACGCCCCCCGGCGGAGCCAGCACCCCGTCCCTCTCTGGCACTTTCAAAGGTCCGCCCCACTTCTGGCTGATCTCTAGTTTCTGTGTGATTCCCTCTGCCTTGGTTCCGCTGCGGGAGCTGTGGAAGGCTGCCGGGGAAAGAAGCCCCCTGTTGCCCACAGGAAGGGGACCCTGGCGCTGGGGGACCAGGGCCAGGACCCTGCCCTGGCTGCCACAGTGTCGCCGGCCAGAGCCTCCCGCCTCGCCCCTCCTCCTCTGCTGACTGCTCTTCTTGACTCGTGTTTCATTAAATCAATGTAGACAACCCTTGGCCTCGTCTGCACTTCTGTTACCCCCTCAGGGGTCAGGGTTTGGGAGGGTCCCCGAAGTCAGATGGAACTGAGAAGGGGTTTGTCTGAGGTCTCCAGGACTCTACGACCCCAGGGCCCCCGAGGCTGGGAATCTCCGTTGCTGGGGTCACGGAAGCCTCAGGTTTCACCCAGTTTGCGCTGGGCTCCTGCGTGATACAGTATTAGCCACACAACCTGCGTGTCACAGCTGTAGATGAAGAAACAGGAGCTTGGAGACTGTCGGGGAGCCCACACCGGTCCGTGGCTGCTGGGCCTGCTGTGTGAGCCTGTGCTGCTCGGGTGCTCGCGGCAGGGAACAGCAGCTGCCTCCCAGGAAGCACCCCGTGCACCCCTGGAAACTGGCGGGTGCTGGCAGTGAGATTCAGCCGTCACTCAAAGCTTAAGGAAACATCACTCAGTGCTTCGGTGGGGAAGACTCATGCCCGAGTAATTTATTAGAATTCTTTAAGGGAGGGCCCTTCCTGGTGACGCAACAGGGTGAAGCACAGCACTAAGAAGCTGCCCGCAGCCGCTGCAGCACGAGTTCGATCCTCCGCCAGGGAGGGACCCCAGGGTACAGCAGCCCTCTCCTGACCGCCCGCTGCCCCCTCAGCGGTGTGTTTCAGTACATCAGCCTGTTTTGTTCCTCATCTATCTGGTGAGTCCTCTCGCTTCCTGCACCTTTGGCCTGTACCCAGGTTCTGTATGCATCACTAAATAAATCTTAAAAAAGAGAGAGAGAGAGAGAGATAAAAACAGTCCAGGGGAGGGAGGGCCCTCCCTGGTGGCACAATAGGTTAAAGCGCAGCACTGTGAAGCTGTCCGCAGCCGCTGCAGCACGAGTTC